GTCAGCTACGCGGTTTCGTCGAGCGCGCTTTAGTCGAACGCGGTTTTGTGGTGGAACCATAAATTTGTCCAACCACGGTTTGTGGAATGAGCCCCTGTTGATTGTGTTCATAATGTCATACTTAGCCATCAATCCTGATTTGCAAACCACAAGAGCAAGATTCTCCCAACATGCCGATGTAAAGCTGAAGAATTCAAATTAGGTCATATTTTGGGGTGAGAACCTGCCATGTGTATCATGTCGTCATCTTGGAAATGAAGCAGGTTATTCCATTATCTCGTTTGAATCATGTTCATGATGTTATCTGCCTCCTCCTGCCTTCCCAGAGACACCCACATTGAGGGGGGTGGGGGACACATTTTCCCAATTGGAAAACTTAGGTCAGGGAAGATTTCTTAGGCTGAAAATTGGTACAGAATTTTTTTTAATCCTCTGGTAAAAATTTGTGCCAAGATAATGATAAGGGGACCCAGGCTTTTCGGGTTTCCTAAAGCATGTAATTGACAACGGCACTTTTCAACTGTCACCAAGCCCTCCGAGGGAAGTGCGTTTCTCACATTTTGCTCCCCCAGCTTCGGTGCTTCAGTGCAAAAGCAGACAGAAAATGGATGAGGAGGCACATCTGTGCCCGATGAATGCTTAGTTTGGCTGCTTTTCTTGTCTGGCTGTCTTTTTAAAGTTTGGGACCACGAAAAACAGTTGACATCTTGACATCTCCAGCAGGTGGCTAAGCCGCTTGCTGGCTTGCCTTCTTTCCAAAGCCATCAGGGGTAGCCAAGGGCAGCTGATTGCATCTCTTTTCTGCACAAACAGCCTTCCTGTACAAACACAGTTCAATGCACGCACACACACACACAACTGCAGAGATTGGGCGAGGTTTTCTCCAACGTGGATTTGCAGACTGATCTGAACCTTCGTTCAGGCATGATTAGATGATTATTAATTATTAGATGATGATTAGGGGCCTGGTGGCTAAAACCTATGAAGAAGAATGGTTGTAGGAATTGGGTATGTCTAATCTAGTAAAGAAAGGAACGCAGTGGCTGAGTGCCTAAGATGCTGAGCTTGTCGATCGAAAGTTCGGTGGTTTGAATCCCTAGCACCACATAATGGAGTGAGCTCCCGTTACTTGTCCCAGCTTCTGCCAACCAAGCAGTTTGAAAAAATGCAAGTAGAAAAATGGGGATCACCTTTGGTGGGAAGGTAACAGCATTCTGTGCGCCTTCGACATTTAGTCATGCCGGCCACATGACCACAGAGACCTCTTTGGACAGAGCTGGCTCTTCGGCTTTGAAACGGAGATGAGCAATGCCCCCTAGAGTCGGGAACGACTAGCACATATGTGTAAGGGGAACTTTTACCTTTAATCTAGTGAAAAGAAGAGCTAGGGGTCACTTGATAGCAGTGTTCCAATATTTCAGGGGCTGCCACAAAGAAGAGGGAGTCAAGCTATTCTCCAAAGCACCTGAAGGCAAAATAAGAAGTAATGGGTAGAAACTAATCAAGGAGAGGAGCAACCTAGAACCAAGGAGAAATTTCCTGACAGTGGAACCATTTGCCTTCAGAAGTTCAGGGTTGTCAAATTCGCGACCTGCAAACCAGATGTGTCACATGACACCAGTGTGATGCTGTACATTTGACACCCCTGTTCCAGATGCTCCATTACTGGAGGCTTTTAAGAAGAGACCGGACAGCTGGAATGATATGCTTGAGCCGTGGGTTGGACTAGAACAGAGGGTCACCAAACCTTCGGACCTCAGGGACCTCTAAATTCATAATTTTAAATCCTGCGGACCACTAATATGACTATTTTTTTAAAAAAAGATAAACAGTATTTAGTGCAATGTAAAAAAATGCAAATAATTTTTCTGCAGAGCACCATAATTTTCTCACGGGCCACCAGTGTCCCTAGACCACCAGTTGGTGACCGCTGGACTAGAAGACCTCTGAGGTCTCTGCCAACTCTGTTCTTCTGTTCATACAGTTCTTGGCCACAATATGCAGCTTTCGTCCCACTTCCGGGTCCAACCATGCCTCCCATCCAAGGACTAACAAACCCGGCTGAATATTTTTCCAAGTTCATAAACCTCCCGCTGAAGGATGCCCCTATCTTTTTAGTCAGTTGGACATCATTTTGAGCCATCGCAACAGTTGTCATTAATGAATGAATGAAATGATTCATCCAATGGAGTCTTCACCCTTGCCTAACCTACACCCTTGCCCTAGCCTTAATTTATTTTTGGAAAAACTCCCCATGGCTCCAGAGAGTTATTGCCCGCTGTCTAGAAAAATGTGTATTGGCCTGGAAATCCTGCCCTACAACACGAAGCAGCAGGAGAAATTCACTAATTGGAAATCAGGATTCCTAACCCAATTTCAAAGGCTTCCCCATCAGTTTTAGGCTGAAATCCTCAGCAGTTGCTCACGTTTTTCCTCCTGCAGCTGAATAACTATGCTTTGCTTGTACGACAATTGCAAAATCAAATTTATTTTGTTAGAGTGTGGTCAGTTTATATAGAAATCGTCATTACTTATACATTTTGGAACATCACATATCAGGGTAAACTCCTATGTTTGTTCTCGTTTCCATCTACCCTTCATCCTCTTTGGGGGGGGGGGTGTATGCAGATCTTGGCATATTAGGGTCTTTTCCCATGTCAGATTGACAGTATCTTGGTCACATTTCGACGAGGTCACACTCGTCATTTTCAGGCTGGTGCCTTTGGCTTCGTGCTTGTGCAAGCAAAGCGTGATCAGAGCTGCCATTTTTCTATAAATATAGGTTTGTGTGTGGAATGTTGGCTTTGCTGCTTTAAATGGATTGGTTGGCTGTGTTGTCACATCTTGATTGGTTGATGGAATTGATGTTTGGTGTGGGTGGTGGCTCAGTGGCTAAGATGCTGAGCATGTCGATCAGAAAGGTCGGCAGTTCGGTGGTTCGAATCCCTAGCGCTGTGTAATGGAGTGAGCTCCCATTACCTGTCCCAGCTCCTGCCAATCTAGGAGTTCGAAAGGACGTAAAAATGCAAGTAGAAAAATAGAGACCACCTTTGGTGGGAAGGTAACAGCATTCTGTGCACCTTTGGCATTGAGTCATGCCAGCCACATGACCTCGGAGACGTCTTCAGACAGCGCTGGCTCTTTGGCTTTGAAACGGAGATGAGCACCGCCCCCTAGAATTGGGAACGACTAGCACATATGTGCGAGGGGAACCTTTACCTTTTACTGTTGCTTTTGGGACCTTTCAGAGATCTTTATAGGATCTTGGAGTATAGAATAAAAAAATCAGAGACTCTGCCTAATCTAGCAGCAATCCTCAAAGCTAAACTGCCTTCTCTCCTTTATAAAGCTCTTCTTTGAATACTGGGGAGGAAATTGGATGTTAGACAAGGCGGGATGAGTTTGAATCTGTAACTCTTGAGGAGATGGAAGGTTCTGTTCATAGGTCAGCTGGTTATTAAGAACCATGCCTTTTCTGGCTTAGGAAGGCCACTTGGGAGATGACAGATAGTATGGTCTAGGTTAGGGGTCACCAACCTTTCGGACCTCAGGGACCACTAAATTCATAATTTTAAATCCCGTGGACCACTAATATGAATTAGTGATGGGAGGGGGTCCTTCAGGCACTTAGCTTGGCCACCTATTAGCAGAGAGAAGTGCCCAGTGTCAACCCTAGGTTTGCTGTCCATTGCAGCTA